GCCTATATGGTAAACAGAGCAATCCACAGAATAGATACAACTCGGCAGAAAATAGTAGCATTTGAAAGTATTCTCACACTGAAAATGAAAGCTTTGCATGAATAGTTTAAAAGATGTTGAAAATTTCTACCCAATATTGTTAATTGATTTTGAGTCGGATGTTCACATTCTATTATGATATTAGAGCAGACTTTCTACGTATTGAACCCAACGACAACACATGCTTCCACATTACTCAATATATTGTAATATGTATTGGCCACTTGTTTAGTTTGGGTGATGTCACACAGTAGGGGTGGGGGAGGTGGAAGGGAGGGGCATGTTAGAGTATTATCATTCGTCGAAAATAGAAGTCTCTACATTAATAGTTTAAAAGATGTTGAAACTACCTATTACCAATTAGTTTTGGGCTAAATACGACCCACATTCTACTACCTTTTATAAATAAAAAATGAGCTTCGGCAAATGTTATTTTGGTAGTTCTACGTAATAGGGGTTCTGTGATGTAATTTCCAAGTCAATTATAATATGAAAATGAGAACATACAAAGAAACAAGTCTGGATTTAAGCAGGAAGTTTCAGAAACATCAATTTTAATTAATTAGACAAAGATTGCAAAAACGTCACGGATTATGGGAGTTCATGGGAAGACTTGCCATCAACATCAAGCTACGAGACCCATGACGATTCACACACAGGAAGCCAAACATAAAATCTCATAGTGTCATACAAACTGATCATACCCAATTACCATAATCCAAATGTAAAATGGGGTCTTCTACTTGATTACGGCACAATAATTACTTAGGTTTAAAGAACTAATTAAGTAGCTATCACTACTTCAAAATTACCACTTATAAAATGGTGGAATGGATTTTCATTTGACTCGTTCAACTAGCGCTACTCATCATTTGTGCAGCACTAAGAGGTGATGGAGTATGCATGAATAAACATCACCGTGAATACTGATTAATTAGTTTAGCGACCAAAACACTTGATTAACATCCAATTATGTTGGGGACCTTGAGCTAAAGCCAAAGGCTATAAACTAACAGAGAAAAACGAACAACAAAAAGTTTACCACTTCATATGCTTCAATAATGATTTTTGTTAATTGCGTATGAAATCTCACAGGCGGCCTGATGATGAAACGTACTCTCGTTCGTTGTAATAAGCCTTGGAGGATCCATCTTATGTTGCATAATTGTCAACTTTTGTTTCTAAATCTTGTATATTAGACGCGTATTAATATTAGTCTTAATTTCAAGTACGTACTCCACCAAATTACTATAGTGTGTAAATGCTGTGGGACAGCAAAGAGAACGCGCATGGCCGCGAGGACAAAATTGACTTGTTTTGTTGCCACTGACAGAGGGAACTTACTTCATAGATTGTTACGTAAATGCATTCATAACTTCAAACAAATGTTTCTTCAAAAGTTTGTGACTTATGATAGAATCGAATGGGATTTTGTGAATGCAGTGTTGCTGAAAATGGGGTTTGATCAATCGTGGGTGCGTCTGGTGATGAAGTGTATCACCTCGCACTACAAAACAGAAGGCCTTTAGTGAGGGTATTTTGTGGTCGCAAAAAGCCTTTTGCCGTCGGAAATTCGCTTTTTCGACGGCAAAGGTTCGTCGGAAGTCGTCGCTAAAACGCCGGTTGGAAATACTTTTTTTCCGACCATTCCGTCGGAAATAATGTATTTTCGACACCCATATTTCGTCGATATTGCTATTTTTTTTTTATCAGAAATAGATTTTCAAAACGACCATACAAATTCATTTCCAACAATAAATGTGGTCGCAAATACTTGCGAACCTATCGGAAATAATTTTTTATCGAGATCTTTTGTTCTTGCCATACTATTTTTTCGACCAATGACTATTTGTCGAAAATAGTATTTCCGACCCTAGATTACTATTTGTGATAAATATAATTCGTTGGAATTGTGCTTTTCTGACATGGAAGCTTGTCGAAAAAAAGTTTTTCCGACTACATTTATAAGCATTAAACGTACAAATATTTTGTCAAAAAATATAAATAATATTTCAATTGAGAAATTGTTGTTCGAAGAATAGTATATATCATCATTAATAAAAGACAAATGTAATAAATTACAAATATTCATTACAATCCTAAGCTATGTCCTATATCACTAGTCCCAAAGTCTACTTCCAATCGAACATTAAAGAGTTCGAATGCATGCTTCATAGCTTCCTTTGAATCTTCACTAATGCTGGGCTGCTGCTACTTCCCATTAATAATAACATTGTTTGTTTATCCTGCCAAAACAAGAACAGAGCTAGTTCTGTTTCCAAAACAAAGTTTTAGTCAATGTGTTAAATCAAATATATCAAGAAGGCAATACATGACAGACAGTAATGAAATAAGAACAGAAAAATAGATACAAGCACGGTAGGTGCCAAGGCGAACCTCCTTTGCAAATACAAAATCCTGAAGAGACACCCTTCCAGATAGAATCCGCTTCCATTGACGCTGTAAGTATGCTCTAACCTGTGTAAAAAAAACAAAGGTCATCATCTAACCGTGGAAATCAAGTCAACCACCAGTAAAAGCTATTTTAAGGAAAAAAAACTCAGGGCAAATACAAGATATCTATGAAACTAAAGAGGTAACATGGGAACATGGATTGACTTACAACCAATGGACGTCCTATCTTTTGCTCTTCACCCTTGATTTTATCAAACCAGTTCAAGTACAATCAAAAGGAATAGCACATGCTTTTGTACCTCATACATATCCTGATGTTCAAAAAAAAGTCTCAAAGACTGCTCCATTGTCTTGGCAACAGCCCCACATGTATCCCTGCGAACTGTCATGGGCAATCTGTTCAGGGCTTTCATAACTGTAACCAACATAACGCTTCTTAATAAGGAGGAAGCACGGGCTATAAACTTTTTCCATCTTCCAAACAATTGGATTTGGTTTCATAGCAGTAATTTCAGATGCAATCTCATGTCCAATCTGAAAAGAATCTTCAATGCTGTGTAAACACAAAAGAAAGTTAATTTGCCCCATTTACATATGAGAGAAAGAGAGAAAAAAAGTGATGGAACAATCTCCATTGACCCACAGGCAATTGACATAAATAGACCACATACAACAGTCTAAACTCATGATATGTCATTATGCCTAATCAAACACACAGTAATGAAAAAGAACAAATCAGAAGAATTTACTGTATCCTATTATTACCTTATAGGATGACCATGTACAATTTGACTATTATTAACTTGTAGGATGACCATGTATGCTTCTATTCTATGTTTTGGTCTCTCTTTCTAATCTTATTATTTCTATAAAATCTTTTATGTTCTCTGTTTTTTATCTCTCTTTTTTTTTTATTGTCTATAACTCAAAATCAACCAATAGACCCAAATGAAAATGAAAAATCAAATATATAAAGACTATATAATGTTCTCTGCAAACACGGCTATAATGTTCTCTGCAAGCACTCCTCTCTAAATAGTTGATGAAGCATTCAGACCCAATTCCTCTTCTCAAATATAGACCAAAATTACAAGATACAGAGTGATGACAAATATACAGAAGGAACCAAAGATGAGGTCTGGTTCCCACCATGTATAATCTGAAATCATAAATTGCTATATAAAAAAATTAAAATAAAGAGCAAGGATAGGTTGAGATTATTACCTTGATTGGAAGAGCAAACAACCTTGTAAGATTGAAAGGCAGGGAGGAGCGAGAATCTGAAAACCAAAGATGAGGTCTGCTAAAATATGAAAACTATAAGAGAATATTTGTTTGTGGGAATTTTCTATGTATTCTTCTCCTTGTAGGAGGTCATATTTATAATACAACAAAACCTGAATGGGCAAGTAAATAATAAATTCCTAAATCTATTTACAGTAGGAAATCAGGAATTAAAGTAAATCAATTACAAATAAAATAGGAATCCTTGGTGTGTAAGGAAAGTAAGTCAATATCCACAAGTCACGCCAACATAAACCTCCTACCATCCCTTTTGGGTCTATAGCAGTATCATAATTAAAACCCATCTCCTTAGCAATCTTTGATAACCTATTGTGCTTCTGCTTTGTTTCCATAAGAAACACAACAGAAGGCCTTTTCTTTCTTATTGTCTCGCGAAAAGACCAAACTGTCAGGTCCGACCCAATCCCCTGACAGTTCCAAATGATATAGCTCATGGCGACCTTGTGGCTGTAGGCCAACCACCACAGCCATTTCCAGAGTCTTTTGTGACAGAATCTCTGCTCCTTTTTCGTTAATCATCTCCCAACACCCTTTCTAGGCCCAAGTCCACTTGAACATTGGTCAAACCTTCCTCCGAGAAATCAAGAATTTTGCGGCTCTTGCCTTTGATCTCAGATTTCTTATGAGTTATGGGGCTCTTAAAGCTCCTTCCCCCATTCATAACCTTTGTACGTTTGCCTTCTTTTCCAGCCTCCTTCCATCCTGGCTCAGCTTCACGTTTAAACCCCATTTTTTCAAAAGCATGATCCACATTAATAATAGGCCCATGCAGTTGCTCCTTTGGCCTAGTATTAAAGGAGTTTACTTGGGAGGGCTCAAGCATTTGTAGAGGTTCTGAGTATTCAAATCCACTTGACCTTTGGCTTTCTCTTACAGGCCCAGGATTGGGCCAATTATTTATAAAGTGGTGCCTAAACAGGAACTGGGGATTGGGCCCATTTGGGTCTTTCCTCAAAAGTGATGGAGGACGTCCTCCCATAGGGCCATGCCCTTTCACTTGGACTCTGTTCATGCACCAAGATCACGCTTTGATAGCTGGGATTATCTCTGACGCCTGCGGCATTCCAATCATACAGCTACATTTCAAGGTTTGAACTCTGTCCATTCCTATCTCCTTTCTGTATGTCCCCATCAACCCTCCCATCTGTCTTGTAACTAAGAGGGGAACTAGCCGTTTGCCTTCCTAACATTAAATTCTTTGTTCCTTCTTATTGTGACCATTGTTTGGCTCTAGGTGTGCTTTAGTCAGCATGCCAAGACCCATTGTTGTTTCCTGCAACAATCTCATTTTCTCCACTTTTTTGGGCCACACGCACCACTCTGGTGCCCAGGTTCATCATACTTATTTGCCCTGCTTGGCGACGAACACTTCTTGGAACATTGAGGCTGACCTGGTTATGCCTTTCACGAACAGTACGAGCTTTCATCCAGTCCCCAAAAGCAGTAGACTCACCATCCTCATTCTTGTCCGGATTGAACTTGCATCCATTTTTTGTGTGACCCAGCTTACCACAATCAAAGCAGAAATCAGACAACTTTTCATACTTTAACTCAGCCCACGTATCTAGTCCTTCCGGTCTCAGAAGCCAAAAGCCCGCAGCCAGGGGGTTTGTGGTGTCAATCAATGTATGTATTCTCAGGAAGCCTCTTGGGCCTTTGTTCCATGGGTCATCCACCTCCAGAACAGTTCCAAGCTTCTCTCCAATCTCCCTTGCATTTCCTGTTAACATAAGGTTAAGAGGAATCCCATGAACCTGTATCCAGTACACCACCATGTGTGTGGGAGCCTCCTCAATTGCCAAGTTACTTGGCCACCGCTGCACAGAGAAGCAGAAACCCATAACAGACCAAGGACCTTCTTCAATGATCTTGTTAGCCATAACCTCATCCTGAACCAGAATGGTGAAGATGTTGTCCTTCATATACATGATTTTTGGCTCACCAAAACTTTCCCAAGCTTTCATTAAGATATTCTTTATGGCACCCATGTTTGGAACCTTGTCGGCAATGATTGCCCCAATCAGTTTTGGACCACTCTCCAAACTTGAAAGACCCAAAGATTCCTCAAGCTTGATCACCAACTCCTCAGTCTTGGCGTTGTCCATATTGGACCACTGAGATGGATTATGGAAGTTGGTTTCTGGAATGTACAGAATGAGTAAGGTAACAGAGTAGCAGATTGCCAAAATTTGCTTTCTGAGGTTTGTTTGAGGCTGGGAGCAGACTTCAGTCTGTGGGGTCTCCAAGGGAAGATACAATGGTCATTCTCCTGAGTGTAGTAATTGGTCCAAGCACTGTGCCAACCAAACATCTTTAGACTTGATAGAATGTAAATTTGGAAGATCTCCATTAATGTTTCCCTGTTAGGTGGTTGGCCTTGATAAATATCTCTGAGCATATTGCCAAAAGTCAGAGAGTGAAGATAGACTTTAAGAGTTATAAAGTCTAGGTGAACTTCATGCTTCTTTGGTGGTTGGTAGTCTTGAATATGATGTAGCTTGTTTTCTTCAGTTTCCTTTTCTGGTTTGGTTTCTCACACTTGGGTGAGGGAGCTCTCATTTTAGAGAGAGAAGGTCTCATTCTAGAGAAAGGTAGAGAGTCCTGATTAACATGTGCTATCTAGCCTATGTAGATGGTAATATTGTCATTGATTGTCAAAAAAGCTCGAATAAAAGCACTGGTGAAGGATAGTATGTTTGCTCTTATATATAAAAATATGGGTGGTTTTGGAAAAGGCCAAAGGAAAGAGAAATATTTTAAGGGAAGCTAAAATATTTTGTCTTTGACAAGAATGCCCTTATTGATTTTTGGATTTCCTAGGGAATCCTTCTATTTCTTGCTAGCCGTATGAAACCAAAATATTTCTTTTCAAATTTTGCTTCTTGCTAGATGTATGGAGCCAAATAGTTTGCCGACTATTATTCATCTACTGGGATGATCTCTTCACGTGAAAATAGGGTTGATTATGCTTAGCTTCACATGATCTTCACGCTTCCATCATGTTGTCTAAATTGTGTAGCTCTTCTTCTCCTAAGCTATTCCAGTATGCGTTGTCATTGTCTTCTGTTGCAATTTGTTCTGCTATCTAGTTATAGATTTCATCAAAAACTTTTGCTCTTGTTGTGCTTATCTTGAATTCATATATATGTGTCATCTGGTCTCCTTGATGTAGATTTTGAATAAATCTTGATAAACTTGAATGGGTGAAGGAGGGTCATACAATCATCTATATTTTTGGAGGTTTTGCTTGGTAGGAATCCTTGTTTTCGCTGATTCTACTGGACTAAGCAGTTCATTATGAGAAATAATAATACTATGTTGTGCTCTGTCTAGATAAATACTATCCTCAAACTATTCTGGGGGTATACTGGTGAAATCTAATTTTACCTTTTTCCAAAGAGGAAGATAAAAACTTATGACTTCTTTTAGTTTTGAGGAAAATGAATCTAGATGATCATTATTTTCAATATAAAGTTGACTTAAATAACCATATTCTGCTAAAAATGTTGGCGTAACTGTGATAGTTTCTTGTTTAAGCTCTAAATGCAGTTCTCTATATTCAACTTGTTAAGGCCCAAAAAATCCAAGGCTTGGCCCAAGCTTAATTCTAGCCCAGCGCAATATTTAACTGTGAAAGAAGCCCAACTAGGGTATACAAGAATTTGTCAGATATGCCCATACAAATCATGGGTTGCATGCCACACCAAGCAAACACGCAAACCCGCCATGCAGAAGGGTCAAAATGAGCTCGTGAAAACGTACTGGCTCTGTAAGCCCATGTTCACTGACCTGTTAAAATGCTATTTAGCTCGGTCACAACCTATTACCACACCCTGGAGTTCAAACCCGCCAAAAAAATATGCAATGACAGGCAAAAGGATCGCTATTATAATGCCAAGCCACACTACAGGCTCAAGTGGGCCCAAGCCACGTAAACATTTGGGGCTTGCTGAGTAGGTTGTGGTATGGATGGTTACAAGTATTCACAAGGCCCATTGAAGGTTCAAGGGATGGAAGTTTTGGGCTAATTGGGAGTACCAAAACTCAAGCCCATTTCTCGAGCCCAAACATATGGGTAAGCAAGGGAAAGCGAAAAATTGCCAAATGCCTTAGGAAGATATCCAATAGTCTGCAGTACTTAGGAAAATCTCATACCAGCTAAGATGCCTAGCGCCTTGACAAAGAATGAAGTAAGTAAGTTGCTTCCAGCAACTTCACGAAACCATGAAGGATTAGCAGGCCGCTAGAAATGGAAAAGGCAAACGACCCAATACTTTAGAAAGCCCAGCCTAGTACCCCAGAAAATATTTAGCCTCGTATCTAGCTCGTCAAAACCTCATAACCATGTCAAATAGCAAACCCTTGTAAAAACCAGTGGAGATTCATATGCGCAAGAGAAATACCCATTAGACTAAGGCCTTTACCCCTGTTTGTTTCTTCTACAAGCTCAAATAAGAAAATTAGAACAAAAAGAGGGTGGTGCCTCACTCACATGGAGAGGTCTAGCTACGTGAAGATCTTGGAACCCCAAAAGGCTTGGTACCTATATGCTCAGGATGGGGAAATTTCACCAAATAAGAGTGAATGGAAGAGAGTGAAGGAAAAAGAATAGGGAGGTTGTGATAAAATTAGTGTTCTAGTTCCTATAAAAGGGAGCTTCTTCTACTCAGCAAAGACACCATTATCTAGGGCGCGACCAAGATTTTTTGTCAAGCGGCTGAGAATTTACTCAAGACACCCCCTGTCTTCTACTTCCATCTTTTTCTCTCATCTTTAGGCAGAAATCCCTCATGATTCTCTCCTCCATTCCAAACCGTAGTTTTTGCAAGAAGTTCAAGCTTTCGTCTCTTTCTCAATTACTAAACTCATGAAGGCTTAACTCCTATGCCACGAGCTCTTCAAGCCAAGCCATACTATCGCTAATCTGTCACGTTCATCTGGTTATTGGTGAAAGGAACCCAAGGTGTTTTTCTAAGGTTTCATAAACTTTTCCAAAACTCTCTTGGAGCTTGGTTCTTAAACTCAGACACAGGGGAATTTTGTTTGTCACTCTCTTACAACAGCCCAGGCCCATATGTCAAGTTGTTGGAACAAAAAGACCACTACATAAATTGGCAACTTCACTGGGGATCAGGCTACTATCTTCACCTATGCCCACAAGAAAGAAGACAAGAACCAACACCATGGCTTCCCAAGACGGGCCAGACCATGGTGACTCAGAGTGAAAGGAAAAGGCCTCTCCTATATAAGAAGAACATGCAAGTGATGAGGCTTTACCCTCACAAACCTTGTTGCGGCTATCTATGCTATGGGGGAAACCCAGAGGGAGATCGTGGAAACAATCAAGGAACTGAAAAGTTCAGTTTCCAAGCCAAGAGAAAAGCACGATAGACCTCTCCAAGAGGAGTATGCCGTTACTACGAAGGGTTCTGAACAAAAGGGGCCATCTTTTGTTACTCAAGAGGACGTCATTGCCATGTTGGAAAAGAGCTTAGTCGAAGCCAAGAAGATTAGAAGTATATCCCTCAGCCACCATATCCATCGATCCAACTCTAACAGCCTTATCCCCAGGGTTATGAGGCACCAAGCTTCGTTCTTTTCAATGGAAGGAAAGGAAGCCCAAAGGAGCATGTCAACCACTTCATCAATGCATTAGGACTATATGCTTGTGATCATAATCTTTGTCTTCGGGAATTTTCAAAAAGCCTCACTGACTGTGCTTACACATGGTGCACAACATTGGCACCAAACTCTATTCACTCCTGGGAGGATTTGGCGGGCAGATTCTACAAGAAATACTTCCAGCATGAGGAAAGATTCACTACGACTCAACTCAATAACACCCGCCAAAAGCATGGTGAGGACCCTGTGGACTTTGTGCATCGGTTCTGGGACTTGGCTCTAGACTGTTACAATGAGAAAGATGAGGAAGCACTCATCTATTACCTTGCAAAGACGAAGAATTTCATGCTATTCTTGACACAATGTTTGCTGATGGTGCGATTAAACCCCTCAGACCCTACAAAGTTTCTCCTAAAAAGAAAAAGGTGAACCTAGATACTGCCATTATCATCAGTTTGTGGGGCATCCAACCACTGCTTGTCAGACTTTAGGGAGGATCTCGCATTCTAAGATACATGAAGGAGTACTTGAGCTCCCCTCTAGAAAGCAGGCCATTGACGAGGACCCTTTGCCAAAACGAAGGGGAAAAGAGATAGTCGCTGTTATCACATGCTCAGATGACTTGCTTGACGATAATAAACCACGCCACCCATGGTAGAATGATCCAAAGTCCCCTAAGGCTATTTGGGAACCTTGTGGAAACATGGAGAAGGCCTATTGGCACAAGTGTTCGAAACCTGCAAGTTACAATACGCCATGGCCACTTGCTGATGGATGGGATAATGGCATAAGCAACGAGGTGTTCATGTTAGACATGCCAGAAGAGCACTATTCGGGAGTTTCAAAGTAGGAAACAGTTGCTGTAACATTCCATAATCTCACAAAGTCTGAAACTAGTATGGTGGAACATTACCTAGGTCTGAAGCAGGGGCCCATAACCTCACAAGTCATCCAGAGGAATCTAATGTTCTAGACACTCTTCGACCAATTTGGCTTCAGACCACAAGCAAGGGAAGCAGTCGCGATGGCTCTCATGAACATCTTTGCAGAGTCTAATCCTCATTGCTTCACTGCTCAGCCACAAAGATCGTTCTTAGAGAACGACAATGCTATTGTCTCCATGAATACATGGATGTCCCGTATCCAGACCACAGGAGGCCACTTAACCTGGAAGGGCAAATAAATGATGTGTTTATAAGAAGAGCATTGGTAGACACTAGCTCTCTGTTAATGTATTACCTTTGTCTGTGCTAAAAGCAGTTGACATTCCACTATCTAAGGTAGTACAATCTCAGACAAGCATCAGCGGTTTTGGCAATAAGAGCAAGGTCACCATTGGCTACATACAAGTAAACTTGAAAGTGGGACCAATTCGGTCGCTTACTAAATTCTACGTAGTAGATGTGGACATAGCTTACCACGCTCTACTCGGGAGGCCGTGGCTCAACAAACACAAGCTTGTGGTTTCTACTTACCACCAATG